CCCCCCCCACACAACAACAACAACAACAACAAAATACACCTTCCCACCTTACACACACAAAGAAAAAGCTTGATGTATTGAATTCATTACCTCCTTCTCTCAACCCACCCCCCTCCCTCCTCCACCCTCTCCCGCCTCTTCCAGTCGAAGCAGGTTCCACAGGTTGCGTGATGGCTAACCGTCTGTCACAAGACAGAAAACAGGCTGTTAAAAAAATAAAAAAATAAAATAAAGCAAAAAAAAAAGGGAGATAAATTAATTATTTTGTTTCTTTCCCAATTATTCTATCACTCCCACCCCGCCATCTCCAGCCTCTTCCAGTGGGAGCAGGGTCCACAGGTTGCGTGGTGGCTAACCGTCTGAGAGGACAGGGAGAGGGGAGGGGGAGAGATCTGGCCTTTATAAGACAAAAATAAGAATAAAAACAAAAACAAAAACAAGAAAAACGAAAAGAACCTTAAAAGCTCATTGCACTATTTATTAATTCTTTCCCTCCTTCTCTCTCAAGTTTGATCTTATTCTTTCCTTTTTTTCTCTCACTCACACCCTCCTCCTTTCAGTGTCTGGAGGACAAAAACAACAAACAAACAAACAAACCACGACAAGTTTGATTTCTATTCTTTCATTCATTCTTTTTCTTCCTCCCCCACCATCTCCCGCCTCTTCCAGTGGGAGCAGGGTCCACAGGTTGCGTAGTGGCTAACCGTCTGTCAGAGGACAGGAATGTCCGCGTCCTACTTCTGGAGGCGGGCGTGGACGACAGGGGAGACAAGACGATCGAGGTGCCTGGCCGCTCTCACCACCTGATGCACTCCAAGTTTGACTGGGAGTACTACACGCTGCCTCAGAAACACGGACTGAGGGGGTATAAGGGTCAGGTGAGGAGGCCGGATTGGAAGCTGATGTATTACTCCTACCACCCACAACTAACTAACTAACGAACGAACTAACGAACTAAGTAACTAACGAACGAACTAACTAACTAACTAACTAATTAACTAACGAACGAACTAACGAACGAACGAACTAACGAACGAACAAACTAACTAACTAACTAACTAACTAACTAACTAACTAACTAACTAACTAACTAACCAACTAACAAACTAAATTAATTTAAAAAAGAAATGAATGAATGAATGAATGAATGAATGAATGAATGAATGAATGAATGAATGAATGAATGAAAGAAAAGATAAATAAATAAATTTGAACAGATAAATAAAACCCCCAACATAAACAACAACGCTAATAAAATGCTTAAAAAAATCTTAACCGTGTATCAATAAAGGATTTTATATATTTCATTTCACCATGCAAGCTCGAAACACCAAATTTAACAATAAATGAAAACTGAGGCTATCGTTTACAAACAAATATCTAATCATACCCTACTATACCATACCCATATCATACCATACCATACCATACCATACCATACCATACCATACCATACCATACCATACCATACCATACCATACCATACCATACCATACATACCTCACCATACCATACAATCTTGTTCTTGTTCTTGTCATTCTTGTTCTCATTGTTCTTCCTGTTCTTCCTGTTGTTGTTGTTGTTGTTGTTGTTGTTGTTGTTGTTGTTGTTGTTCTTCTTCTTCTTCTTCTTCTTCTTCTTCTTCTTCTTCTTCTTCTTCTTCTTCTTCTTCTTCTTCTTCCTCTTCTTCTTCTTCATTCCCTGTCCCATTCCTCAGAGAGCGTACTGGCCCCGAGGCAAGGTGCTGGGCGGTACTTCCAACCTGTACAGTATGGTGGTCATCCGGGGACACAAGAGAGACTATGACAGGTGGGCGGAGTCTGGAGCGGAGGGGTGGAGCTACGATGACGTACTTCCCTTCTTCCTCAAGTCCGAGGATATACAGGACTCCAAGCTCGCAGCTTCAAGTGAGTTAACCTGTTTTGTTTTGTAGTATGAGTTTTATACAAAACTTTCAACGATTTCAACGAAATAACACTATTTACTTATATACGGGCCGACGATTAGAGGTGCTAGTGCTGGATAGTAAAATACAAATAAAAGGAGGAGACATAAGGACGATAGCTGATGTTTGACAAGAAAGAAGTTGCAAAGCATAACAGAGCACCTTCCATCCATTTTACAGTGAGTAAATATGAGGCATTGTGGTGAAATCAAGCGATCGTCAAAACAATAAAATCAAAGAAACCGACACCCCCCCCCCCCCAATTTTGACAGTTTTTTAATGGAACCTTTTGTTTTGGGCCTAACACCTTTTGTGTCCATTTAAAACACATTCTTGCATGGATTTCAAGGAAAAGCGTTGAACAAAGACACATAAAGTGTAAATTTGTAGTTTCTAAGGACACTGTTTGGTTTGGTAAGTGTTTTACTGCGCTCGCAACTGCATAAGGTCAAATGAGCGTGCGGGACAAACAGAACATTTTCAGTTGGTAGGAAATTTTGAATTTTGCCCGGGTGGCGGCCGAAGCCTACTCTTATTGATTTTGGACCACCAAGAGATCTTTAACGTGCGCAACTTGTACATGAGACCTCCGAGATTTTTCGACCTTGTCCGAGAAGGCTAGGTGTAGGTCTTACCTACCATAAGATCAGGGGTGTGGCTGAAAGACAGCAGTAAGAAGGAGCCAAGGAGTAATAGGAGAAAGGCTATAGAAAGAGTGGAGCCCAGAGGAGGGGGCAAAGGAGGTGAGAGGGTGGAGGCAGAAAGAAGAGACGAAAGCAGGAGACAGAACATTGTTAGAGAGCAGGACAGAATGTGAAAGGATAAAACTTTAGAGAAGAAAATTTTCCGTCGCTCTCCAGATACGAACCCGGGACCTATTGAAGGAGAGGTGAACACCGTAACCTCTAGGCCACGAGAGCCCCCTCTAAGGACACTACAGTTTTGGAAGTCACTAAACGTTCCCCTGAGGCAGTGCCACTGACTGAAGTGTCTTTAGGCCATTCCCAAAGGGGGGACATTTCTCGTTCTTATGCACAGTAGAATTGTAAATGGGCTGATTTAACAATGTCATACTCATACCTGTACCTGAACTGCAACAGCGAACTGCTGTTTTTTCTTTCCTAATCCTTACTATCGTCATTTTCCTCTGCTTCTTTTGTATGTTTGTCACACTCTTGTGACCCGCTATTTCCGGGGTGCCTTGAAAGTCAAAACAGACTTTGTGCTGTTAAAGCAAGAGAGGTGAGCAGAGTAAGCCCGATTCCCTGTAAAGAGTTCTCTGTTGACATCCACCCCTTGGCGCTCATATATGACCTTATGCAGTTGCAAGCTCCTTTTTTTATACTGTAGGTGTTGTTTGCCCCCCCCCCCCCAAATCGACACACTTTAAATCAATTTGTGTCACGTCGTGGTGAAATCAGGCGCTCGTCAATTTTTGGGCATGCGGAGTTATTGGTATCATCTGACAGCTGATTTATTTGACGTGCTTCCTATGAAATAGAAATCCATTTATCTTGAATAGAACTCAAGATATTTGCGATTGAAGGAAGTGAGGTTACCCTGTTTCAGTGGCGAAATTAGGGAGAAAAGTTTGGTAGCTCCAATAGCTAAAGAGTCCTTGAAAACAGAAAAAAAGACATCTTTAATCAATGTTTTTGTGTAAAATTCCCATGGAAATGTGTTTTTATATAGACAAAAAGGAAGTTGAGCCAAAAATAAAAAATAATTGAAAACTTAACAAACTGGTGGAAAAACGCCTGTTTCCCCGATTTCTGTATTTTGACGACCGCGCTGCCTCACATTTAGAGATGGTCTTCAACCCTGCCTGTCAGGGACAAGCCTGTTATAACACCCCAGCAGAAATGCTGAGATACTTGATTAATATTATCCCCACATTGAAATCGAATTTGGGTCTTCTGCGTGTGACACTGAAGCACCGATCTACTATACCAATGACCCTGATGTCATCACCGAAACCCCCCCCAAAAAACACCAACACAGAAAATCACAACAACAACATCATAGCAACAACAACAATAACAACACCAACAACAGTAAAAGCAGCAACGAGAGCAATCTCACCAAAAACTATAAACGTTTGGAAGCGATCATCAGAATAATTAATATTATACAGGAAGTTTCTAACAGTTGCAAAACGAGAAAAGGAACAACGAAAGCAACAACAAATAGCAGCAAAAACAACAACAGCAACAGCAACAACAGTAACAACAAGAACAACAGCAACAAATATAAACGTTTGCAAATACCCTTTACAACAATCTAAAAGATGCCAAAAGGTCTGACAGAGCAAGCAATTGTCCCCGTCTTTCACTTGAGTCCATCATGTGTACAGAACGTGGAATTCTTCACTACTGTTCGTGTTTTTTCTCCCCCATATGTCATGTGCAAATGTTGATTTAGTAAAGAAGTCCATTTCCCTTTTGCACACAACCAATTACATTTTGTCATCCAAGATTTCAGTATCCCTAAAATCCCTATAGTATTTCATCCCTGTTTAACGTATTTAATCTATTTGTGTAAAATGAACACCAAAACCAGGAAGACACGAATGATGTAAGTAATAAAAATAGGTTTGATTACAGGAAAAACAAGGGTTGGTTGCGGTAAGGAAGATTTTTGTCACCATTATCAGCAACCAAGCGATTTCGTGAACTAACTGAAAAGGCGCGTCGTATTCTAAGAGTTAATCCTTACTAATACTGTTAAAAGTTCCATTGCAAAACCAACAGGATCGTATTTGCTTGCTTGTTTGAGTAAAAAGAAGCCCATCGACACAATAATAGTAATCTGGTGCTGGGAAAAGAAAGGCATACATATAGACAGAAACAACGGAGGGAAAAGGACGCGCCAGTGTTGCCCTCCAACCACCCGCTAGGATAGTCGAGTGTGGTTTTTACTACATTGCAAGAGCACAACATATCCGTGTTTAATTTAATGAATTGTTATCATTTCTTTTTAACCTTTAAACGAGGGTTTATGTCTCCGATTACATTGTCAACAACATCTGGGATTCTATTTTTACCCCGTAGAACTGTTTTTCGAAATGCAATTCTAACGCTGTAACCTTGAATGACTGCAACTGATAAGACAGAACTAGCAGGAGAAAATACAGTTTGAGAACTCTTTAACTCATTGACGACGCGATTTCTGGTAATACAACTCACGACTTTTAAAGAAGATGCGCTATTTTAGGGCGTAGCTTCGTTTTCAAACAGATTTTTAAAAAGTTTAGTTTTCTCTATCTGAAACTTTAAAAAGCATACTACATCCTGCATTTTATGAAGTATGCACACTCGTGCTGTGATTTGTGTTTGATGGTTCAAAATGTGCCGAAACATTGCCTTTTGTTGTACTGCTGATCCGTCATAATGTGTTTCCGGTACATTTTGAAAGAGTTAACAATGCGCCAAAAATATAGCATGTTTGGCTTGTAGTGTAGAAATACATATCAGCAGAAAAATGTACAATATTAAACGTTTGTTTAATTTAAAAATAACCCTCCCCCCAAAAAAACCCACCCCAACCCACGAAAGTGTAAAGGAAAAAAAATAGTTAAAGATTGCCACGCAAGACACATCTTTCTGTATCGCAGTTTGGTCTTCACACTATAGCAGCCTGACTTCTGTAGTGTAGTGGTTAGTCAGAAGGGAGGGGGGAGGACAGAGAGAGAGAGAGAGAGAGAGGACAGAGAGAAGAACAAAGAGAAGGATAGAGAGAAGGGCAAAGAGAGTGTCAGAGAAATAAAACGAAGAGAGAGAGAAAGAGAGAAGAGAAGGAAAGAGAGGAGAGAGAGAGAGAGAGAGAGAGAGAGGACAGAGAGAAGGATGGAGAGAAGGATGGAGAGAAGGATGGAGAGAAGGGCAAAGAGAGTGTCAGAGAGAAATAAAAAGAAGAAGAAGAAGAAGAAGAAGAAGAAGAAGAAGAAGAAGAAGAAGAAGAAAAAGAAGAAGAAGAAGAAGAAGAAGAAGAGAGAGAGAGAGAGAAAGAGAGAAGAAAGGGAACGAGAGAGAAAAGAGAGAAATGGATTTAGAGAAGAACGAAGAGAATGGCAGAGAGGGCGTCAGAGGGATATAAAAAGAGGAGAGAGAGAAAGAGAGGGAACGAGAGAGAACGAGAGAGAGAGAAAGACATAGAGAGAGAGACAGAGAGAGGCACACAGAGAGAAAATAAACAGCGGAGAGAGAGAAAGAGAGAAGAGAGAGAACGACAGATAAAGAAACAAGGAGAAAATAGAGAGAAGGGCAAAGAGAGAGAGAGAGAGAGTGTCAGAGAGGAATAAAACGAGGAGAGAGAGAAAGAGAGAAGAGAGGGAACGAGAGAGAGAGAGAGAGAGAGAGAGAGAGAGAGAGAGAGAGAGAGAGAGAGAGAGAGAGAGAGAGGAAGAGAGAAGAAAGGGAACGAGAGAGAAAAGAGAGAAATGGATTGAGAGAAGAACGAAGAGAACGGCAGACAGGGTTTCAGAGAGAAATAAAAAGAGGAGATAGAGAAAGAGAGAAGAGAGGGAACGAGAGAGAGAGAGAGACATAGAGAGAGAGAGAGACACAGAGAGAGAGAGAGAGAGAGAGAGAGAGAGAGAGAGAGAAAGAGAGAGAGAGGGGCACACAGAGAGAAATAAACAGCTGAGAGAGAGAGAAAGAGAGAAGAGAGAGAACGACAGATAAAGAAACAAGGAGAAAATAGAGAGAAGGGCAAAGAGAGAGAGAGAGTGTCAGAGAGGAATAAAACGAGGAGAGCTAGAGAGAAAGAGAGAAGAGAGGGAACGAGAGAGAGAGAGAGAGAGAGAGAGAGAGAGAGAGAGAGAGAGAGAGAGAGAGAGAGAGAGAAAGCAAAAGGAGAGAGAGAAAGAGAAAGAGACAGATAGATAGATAATTGCCAGATAGAAAGACACAGAGAGAGAGAGAGAGAGAGAGAGAGAGAGAGAGAGAGAGAGAGAGAGAGAGAGAGAGAGAGAGAGAGAGAGAGAGAGAGATACTGACAGACAGACAGACAGGCAGACAGACTGAGAAATAACGTAACTATACAGAGATATCAGCAGGGGCTGAAACATTAGATTATCGACGACATAAAATTGATAGACCGGACTAACCGGAAACTCCAATAAATAAGTTGATCTGTTGAAAGGTTTCGTGTGTTGGGTACACCCAGACAACAAATCGATGAGGAGAACGAAACTTTTTACTAACTGCGAACATCATGAGTGTCTTGCGCTTGAAAGACTTTCTGTGTACGGATGAATCCTGAACAATCAAATGGGCGATCTGGGTGATTTCTTGCCACTTTTCGCTGGTTTTTATAATATAGTTGAACCTGCTCTTACGGCTTGCTGTCCAAAGCAATCCCCACAACACTACAAGCGACGGTCAGCATGCTCTACTCTATGCCCATTGCAACTCGCTACCCTGGAATCTGCTCCGAACTTAATTTTGAAAAATTAGAAGCTAAAAAGAAATCGAGCTTCACAACGGGATCATGCTTTGTCGAATGTAGTTCTTTGAGTCGAATTTGATAGAGCTGAAAAAACTTTATAAGCATCTGAACTAATGTGGCAGAATGTGACTCCTCTTGAGAGAAAGCTCTATGGCAGTCTCTCAGATTTGAAGCGGACTGCGCAGTTTGTGCGCGACATCGGACTGACTGTCTAGCTGCTGTCATCGAGAACAAGGAATAATAAGAAGTATTTAACCTAATGGTCTAAGTAACTCAAAACAACACAAAAATGGCCGATATAACTTTGTTATTCTAAAACTACGGTAGCGAACTATCAACTAGGCAACATGTAGGCCTACAAGTATCACGAAATAGCTCGTTCTCTGTACTTAACTATTGTGTATTGCGCCGATGTGCTGCTCGTTATTGAAACAAACAAAATCAATGTCAGGTTGTAACGCCCCAAATGGACGTACAGGTTCAACCCTGGGTCAATTTGTCGGCAAAGAAATAACCCACACTTTATTGGTGGCGCCGTAAAACATAAACTCTTCACTGCTGGGGAGACGAATAATATCTCCCAAACTGGCTCACTGTGCCTTTGTTCCCCCCACTAGTCTATTGGGAAAATTTGTTGAAGATGTATTTGCTGTTTTGTGAAATTTCTTCTTTTTGTTTAGGGGAATTACTTCATATCCTGGCTTTGTTTACATCTATGTTTTAATGAAAGTTTTCTTTTGTCTGTACAAATTGAAATGGGAATGCTGCAGTACTGAAAGGGCTAAAACTATTTTTACAAGCGTCTTGTTTTTTTGTTAAAGCGATAATTAAATAAGTAACGAACATGAATTACACGTTATTTAGAACCCGGGGGAAAATTTGGATAGAAAACATGAAACAAATAAATAAATGAATGAATAAATAAATACATAAACAAATAAACAAATACACACGAGAAAAAATAAATACACATCACTGAAACATATTGCTTCTCTCAGAATACCACAGCACAGGTGGACCGGTGAAAGTGTCAGTCCCCAACACAATGCCTTTGACAGAGATCCTCATTGACTCCGGACTCGAACTCGGACTCAAGCTAAACGACCCGAACGGCGAGACCATGAAAGGTTAGCAAGTGTACTCTTGCAGTTGAAAGCAATTGTTTGCTGTTGCTGCTGCTGCTGTTCTCTCTCTCTCTCTCTCCCTGTCCCTCTCTCCCCCATCTCTCTCCTCTCTCTCTCTGCCTCTGTCTCTGTCTGTCTGTCTGTCTGTCTGTCTGTCTGTCTGTCTGTCTGTCTGTCTGTCTCTTTCTCTCTCTCTCTCTCTCTCTCTCTCTCTCTCTTCCCCCTCTCTCTCTCTACTCCTGTGTTTATGCACATTATTGTGCGTATGCTTGTGTGTTTGAGTGTGTGTTCGAGTGTGTGTATGTGTATGTGTGTATGTCTGTCTGTGTTTATTTGTTTCTTTGTGTATATGTGTGTTTCTGTGAGACAGTGTGTTTGGGGGGAGGGGGAGGGGTCCCTTGAGATATGAAATTAAAAATGTCAGACTTTTCTGTTTCGTGTTTACTGATATGAAGCTTGTCTGTCAATTGTCATGCTTTCCCGTTTAAAATTAGAATGATTATTATGGAGAATCCAGTGAAAAATCCAGGTGAGTCACAACTTTTATGTAATCAGTCTTTTAAATCATGTTGATTATTTAACAATCAAACTTTCTTCTCCGAAGGAACCAAAGGATAACCTGGTTAAGTCATGTGCCATGTAAGGTAAAAAAAATAATGTTATGCCCACTACAATATACGGACTTTCAAACTTTGCGTTTCTATTTTCTCCACTTTCTTAAAATGATACTTACTTGTTTTTCTTCACTGGAGTCTTTATATAATTACGCCTAATAAAGAAAAGAAGCAGGGGAATATTCCACTATCGTCATGCGCTTGTTTTTATCACACCTGACTCATGTCTTCCAAAATTAGCATTAGTTAAACATTTTTTGTCCTTGGATTTTATTGAATATTTTCCGGTCTTTCCACTTTTGAGCGTGGTTTCAAAATTAATCCTTCCAAAAACATGCAGTCAACGATTCTGGGTTTTCCATTATGTGCTTGGTTGTTTTGGGGAGAGGGAGCGGGATTCAAACAACAGAACAAACAAAACAACAAAACAAACAAAAAATCCAAGCTATTTTGAAGCCTCATCCCAGGCATTTAGACAGGACGCTATCTGATTGGTACAATCATGAATCTTTCAAACAATATGAAACCTGTCCTCTCAAACAGATATAAAATTAACACAAAGATAAAACCCCCAAAAACCCCAAAAGCGAGCGAAGATAAGAACCACAAAATCGAGCGTATGGTCAGTCCTTTTGTATAATAGATGTAGGGGAGCGACTATAAACAAAGACACAGAAATTTTTTTGTTAATGTTGTGATTCACTCCGATCAGTTCACGCAGTACAATTTCGTATAAATAAATTCCCTGAAACTCATGAGTAGAGAGGAAAATATCATAGAACTGCTCCAAATGACTAATTGTTAAAGATATATTCAGAACCACCAGAAAGAGACGATTTTGCTTCTTTGGCTGTATTGATACAATGGACTTGAGAAACTGCTGCTTTGTTGAAGGATAGAGGAAAGGAGACAAAAGAGGAAGACTGAGAACAACACTTACAGATAGCCCAAACAGCTTTGCGACATATAACCAAATAGAAAAACCGAGTTTATGAAAAAAAACTGACAACGTACAGGAGTAGGTACCATGAGGGTCAATGGCAGCTCCAAACCTGAAACCTGAAGAAAAACAACAACCTTTGAGACGTTAGTCTTTACCTCTCTCTTTGAATGTAAATTAGAAATATAGCTTAAAATCATTTTTTTAAAAATTGAATGGTTTTATTAGAAAGTATAAAGTCTTCAAAAAATAACCAATAGCTTCTCAAACAGCATTGTATAGCTTTACTTGTTATGTCAACATCTTCCTATATTTCTAAAGGCCTTTCATTGTTCCATTCCCCCTTTAAATTGTTCACATCATTTTTAACTTAACTTTTCCAGTATCTAAGGAACTGCAGTAACCAACCCTCCACCCTCGAACCCCCCCCCCCAAAAAAAAACCACAACAAAAAACCCCACAACAAAACAACAACAACAAAACACACAAACAACAAAACAACAAGAACAACAAACAAACCAAAACAAAACGAAACAAAATGTTTTTAAAAAAGCGAATAAAGAGATGTTAGAATGAAATTGGTATAAAATAGCGATACCATTATCAACAATTATATCATTAGAAATACTAATGATGAAAAAAATAACGATAATAATGATAACTATGATAATAATAATAATGATAACAATAATAACAAAAACAATAGTAACTAGCATTTATGCTGCGCATGCGTGTCCAACTTCTAACAACAAATGCTTAATGATCATTACACTCAAAGAGATATCAAATTATAAAAGTTACTTGACAGTTGTACACGTAGAATATACCATAATTATGTATATTATGAATACACATTTCTAGGGGAAAAATTGTCAAACAGTGAACTTGGCAGTGCTAGTGAGAGCGCCAAAAATAAAAAAAATAAACCAACAACGTAGAATGCACGCTA